TCCGTAAAGCGGAATGTTTTTAGAGCTGGTCTGTGCATTCTTAAAGGACAAAAGTGTAAGAGAAAAGCAATTAAACTTCATGTTAGTATCTAAGAAAAATGCAAATTGCAAAGGATTGGCTACTGAGGAACAACAAAGGATATGTGTAATAAAAAGGCAATAAAACGAATATGGCATGAATTTTGAAGATTGAGATTGCAAAATTAGCGTAGGATCCAGATATGCCTTTAGGCACGCCCTTAATTGCAACCTGTATTTTTCGAAGACTTGCAGGCGACGTTACAAGACGAGTTAACATTTCATCAAAGGTGTCGGAGGAAAAGTTCGCAATCAAAACTCCGCAGCCTAAATTATGCCCGTACGTTCACTGTGTTAGTTGCACAGAATTCATTTTATTAACGTCGCCGACGGTTATTAGGTCCAAGTGCGAGAAAGTACGAAGTGTACAGCTCTTCAGATTATCTCTGTCCCAACCAAAATTTTATATACGAATCCCTAAAATTTATCTGCTTTGAAAATTGTGTTCAGATATGTTGCTCCTCCATCAAAGCCAAATAAAACCGATCGTTCCGGGCCAATTTCAGATAAAGGTCTTAAATTCAGCACATCCCAAAGATTCGGAGTGATGGACATTACCAGTTAATTTTGGAATAAAATGATACTCCTAATTGTGAATAGCAGTTGTCCCTAATTCCATACTTCCGAAGAAACGATTCAGCAGTATAGGAAAAAAACTCTCCAGATTTTTCTGCATATAAACTGACAAATAATAGACTCTGGTAGGAATTCTTCCATTACAACATTAAAAACGGATTTTTGGCTTCTGGAGTCACTCTAGGTTTTTTCGTGGACATCCGATTCGTGTTCAAAATACGTCAGGTTTCTTTTACTCGAATAATCGACAGTAAGATAAAATCGTTCGGCAACGAACCAGCATGCCTGATGGTATGTATATGTTGCAAATGACGTTAATAATCTTAAATATAAACTTCCACATTTCACATAAGAGATTAACAAACACGAAAAAGTCCCACGCGATGCATGAGAATCTGCAACTTTGCGTTTACGAAATTAACTCTACACGACCATGACATGTTTGTATTGTCAACCAAGCATGTCACATCAAATGTTGCATTGGCAGAGATGCTGAGCAAAATTTTAAAGTCCTCTTCCCCTTGTATTCGAGCCTGAGTTAGGTAACTCTTTAAAGCACTGGCAAGTGCCGATTCTTGTGTCAGAATATGGTAATCTAAAAGAAGAAAACCATTTCATTAGACTTTGCAAAATATAGCCACTTCTATATGTTTGTTAGGCTAGGGAAAATATTTTCAAAACAATCCGAACATAAAAAGCAACTAACTCGGAATATTTTCTTTGAAAGTTTCATTAACAGAACCTAGTAAGTGAGACATGGAAAAACTAATTGTTTATAGTCCAAATATATAGACACTTTTTAAGTATAAATCGGTCCGGAAAGCTAAATTATTGTAAATGTACGACATAAATTGCTAGCCCAAATTCTAAAATGTGTCTTCGTTTCAAAAAGATAAGTAAAGTAGAGTTGCAAAATTAATCAATGTACAGCATAATTTTGTAATAATCCATTTAATTTGTGATGTCGGCTTTAGAAAGAACTTCCTTTCATCCGGATGCAAAAACCAGACATTGCTTAAATGACTACTTAACCAACATTAATTTTGTCATCCAATTTCGATGCTCTTAAAAATCCAGTTAAATTTCATAAAATATATGCATAAAATATTAATTAATTTGCCATAAAATTACGCTCTCTTCCAATTTATGCCCAAATAAAGAGTAAAATGTGATTTTAAAAACCTTTCAAATTCTCAAATACTTTTGAATCCAACTTTTCGTTACGCTTAAATCCAGGGTTTACAAACTACAAACCAAATACTTTTCGTGCACGGAAAACCACACATGTCTCTAGGGTATTAAGAGGACATTAAATGCAGTTCATTACATTTTGCAGTGGATTCGAGGCATACTGTAAAATTCAAAAGCCACAGAGGCACCTTATCTTATGGAGGATCATCTCACGGTATTAAAAACTTCATATTTAGAGACATTCTAAAAACGAAAGTGTTCCATTTTCGCGAGCATAACAAGGGAAGAAGGCTACATTTTCTACCAAATGAGTAAGAGAATTAATAATTGTATGCATTCCTTCAATAAAATATGAGTGAATTTCTAGGGACGTCGAAATTCACAGAAGAAATATATGCTAGTCAAGTAGTCATTTTTAACAAAATGTGGTTTTTGCATGAGCTGGCATCGCGCCGTAACTGAAATATTATATCATTATGTTCTACGATAATTGATTTTACAACCTTCTTTAAGCGACCTTTTCGAAATGTAAACGTACCTCAGAATTTCGTTTAATGTTTAATGAGTTAGTATACCAACTGCATATAACTGATAATGAGACAAAGAAGTCTAAAATACTGTGATTGATTAACGAATAAGCCCCTTGTCGCTTCGCTTGCAATCTGAATTTTTAATATGCTTTCGATCACCGTCAACATTTGAAGATGGAATTTGGTGATCGTCTTATTTGATAATATTAAATTTCGTAACGTTGAAACAGGCAGGTTAACATGTGTTTTTAATGTTGAATGGAACTGGTTGTAAAGATTTCTTTGTATGACATCAGCTCTCTAAACTAAATGATTGGCAAAATTTCCGTTAAATGTATTCTGCTTTAATTAATGGCGGAAACAAAGGAAGTCCACATAGCATACACGTCGGCTATTAAACGTCAAGTTGCTTCGGGCATCTGGAAATTTAAACAATATTTTCACTAACTTTGGATAAACCTTGTTTAGGACTACGACTGAAGCTTTAACTAGCAATATTAGGCTGCAGCTGCCTTTATGATTCCTAATGCTAAGATAACAGCGTCCACTGGCTTTATCCAAACCCAAAAATCAAACGAAAAACAACAGTAATATTAAAAAAAACTGGCCCCTGAAGTATACATACAACACCAGACATAGAGTTTGAACACGCTTTTGGAAACAATCAGTCAGTTTAAAAAGTTTCGTCAAAATGTTGTATAAAGCAAGGCTGGAGAACTGTATGACAACTGCAATATATCTGAACATGTGTATTAGATTGGGGACGACATCATCTGTCTCTCCTTTGCTATCATAGTTTGGCCGACTTCGACCCGGTAGGTGATGGCCTGTTTATGATCCCTATCAGCCACACAAAGTTCGTTTGCTTTGGATAGCCAGTGGATTAGTGTGTGCCACATTCTGAATACATTAATACGTGTATGGGTAAAGATTCGATGTCCAGATATTGTATCGCGTTCATCATCCCCCGAAGAAGACGAAGAAGAAGACAGGGCGCACTCATGGACCGAGTTATAACTGCACTGACGTTTCGGAAACCCTCTCGTTTCCATCATCAGAGTAATGTGTTGACAGTTACTGCTGGTCTTGATTGCGTCAGCCTCGATACCTGCCTGGTATTATATCCGTGCGCGAGGCACGAAATCTGACCTGCCCGTTCGCCGCCGATTAGCGTTGACCTCTCCACGATTGACCGCCGATGGGCTCCTGCCACTAATGACCCCTTTGCGGCCGTCGTAATTGTTGGCGTGCCAGCATGCTTGTCGGCCTCCCCCTCGTCACTCAACGGACTGATCAATTGTTGGGGCTCATGCGAGTTGATCTCAGCCTCGTGGGCGTCGTGGTTAGGTGGCGTCCCATGCTGGTCACATGACCCCCGGCCGGCTTCTCTCCTACTTTCTGCTGACATCGGCTGTCGGCCACGCGTCACTTTGCCCGACCGTACTGATGGCCTTGTCCGCACTGACTCGAGCCTTGTGTGTAGCGCCTGCTAGGCTGGATGCAGAGCTATGGCTCTGTTGAGTGTGCCAGTCGAGGACCAACTTTCGAGCATCAGTCTGGCCATCTTATCATTGGCTCGGCCGATTACCCTTGCCTTTTCAAAGGGGAAATTGTGGTTCTGATGTTTGACGTGGCCATAAACCATAGACAGCTTGTCCTTGCGGTTGATTGCAAGCTGGTGTTCATGCAACCTTGTGCCAAGATGTTTGCCCGTTTCACCAACATACCTGGCATCACAGTTTTGGCATGTTATGCTGTAGACCACCGCCGGTTGTTCTGTCACCGGTAGCGGGTCTTCGGGCCTCATTATTTGCTGTCTGATTGTTGACTCTGGCTTGTGAGCCACTCTGATCCCGAAAAACTTCAGGATTCTTGCCGTCGCCTCTGACACGTTTTTCACATAAGGGATTGCCAGCCTAAATTTCGGGTTTTCTCCGTTCGACCGCTCAGGGTGGGGCATCTTAAGACACTTGCGTATGAAGGACTTGGGATAAACGTTGGCTTTATATAGGGCGTGCAAGTACCTAATCTCCTTCTTCCTCCCATTTTCGTCGCTGCAGTGTGTTTGAACGCGTTGGAAGAGGGTCCTGACAAAACTGCGTTTGTGACCAACGGGGTGATTGCTCATGAAGTGGAGGATTCGCCTGGTGTGAGTTGCCTTGCGGTAGACCGTTGTCCTTATCTTCCCGTCCTCCACCTTTGTCACTTGTACGTCAAGGAAGGCCAGCTGATTGTTGAGCTCTTCTTCCATAGTAAACTGGATGTCGGAAAAGATTGAATTCAACAGTGCCTTGAAAGCCTGCACATAGCTCCTTTTGATGATAACGAAAGTGTCGTCGACGTATCTGGCCCAGAATTTTGGGGGTTATGAGCTGAAGACCAGCCGCTCAAGCCTCTGCAAAACCGTTTCAGCAATTAATCCAGATAGAGGCCAGCCCATCGGTGTCCCCTTCTTTTGCTCGTAGACCTGGCCGTTGAATGTATAGAACGTCTTAAGACATACTTCTAGGAGCTCGATGATGTGAACTCATTTGAGCTCTTGCTCGGTCTCATCATACTTTTCTCGGAGAAGACCGTCAGTAGTGTCGATAGCCAGCGCAGTTGGGATGGAGGTGAACAATGAGATCACGTCAAAAGACACCATCCCCTCATCTGCATCCACTTCGAGACGTTTGATGCGCGACAAAACTCGTCAGCCGACTTCACTGTCCACTCTGAATTTTTGGTAAGGAAACAAAGTCGCTGGTACAGCCACTTTGACAGCCCAAAGGTTGGGGTTTCACGTAAGGAGGCGATGAAGCGTAGCGGCACTCCCGGCTTGTGGACCTTTGGTAAGCCGTAGAAGCGCGCCATTGCGGCATCACTGGCTTTTGCGGCCAGAGCTTCCCTTTTAGTAAGAGCGCCCGCCTTCCATAGCTTGCCGATCGCCTTGTTTATGCTATTTACGAGCTTTTTGAACTCGCTGACAGTCGATGGCACATAAGTTCCCTTGTCCATTAAGAGGTTGCCTAGTTTTGTGCAGTGCTCAGCCTTATCCATGACGACAGTAGAGCGCCCCTTGTCGGCGGGCAGGGTGACGATATCCTTCATTTTTCGTATCTTCAGAAGTTCTCGATCTTCTGCCATAGAAATCGTCGTCTGGCGTTTATGTTGGAGGAGTAAGGTCGACACTTGTTGTCGCATGACGTTTTGGCACTCCTCGCCTGTCTCACACTTCTGGAGCGCTGATTCGAAGAATGTAATAAAGTCTTTTAGTCGAGCATCTCTTGTGCTGAACTTTGCGTCATAGGATAGAATGGCTAGTTGTTGCTGAGAGAAGCGATGGGAGGACAATTTGTGAACCAAAACGCCGTCAGTGGAGGGCTGCTTTGGCGGACTTATTCTCTCATATTTTCCAGACAACTGGTCATCACGCAATTTGCGGTGATACGTGTATGTATATTCATCTTGAACTGAAATCGAAGTATGCCAGTCGTTTCTGTCGAGCATCCTTCTTAATTGCGCTCATGAATAGTTTGTACTGGTACGAATGAAGAGAACAATATGCCAGTTCCTGTCATTTTAACGCATACTTTTCAAAGTAAGGCATCTTTCATATAAGCCATTCTGTATCCGTTTAAGCAAAACTTCTATTGACCTTAATTAAAACCACAAACGCAAAATTAATTGTATTTGCCGATCGATTAGTTCTGCATCGCTCCACAGGTGTGAGAAGGATGGATACTAGAGTGTAAAACGAAGAATGAGAAAAATGTGATTTAAGTCCTGGCCCTTGGTCTGGCCAACGCGTTATCTGAAAACGCATTTTCTAAATAATCATTCGAAATGCGACCATTTATATCGTGTCCGCACACGCAACTACTTCAGGACCCACAGGACTAAATCACGCCACCTGTCATCCTATACATTTCATAGCACTTCTGCATAGGAGACAGGATTGGGAAAGGTTTGACTTACCATGCCAGTGCACGGTCTGTGTTTGAGAGTCTCCATTTGAGTAGCAAACAAACATTGAAGTTTCATTTTCGTCAATTCTCTCGAAATTTAATGTAAGGAGAAACATATCGCCGTGTTCTTTAACATCTAAACATAAATGAATTTAGTAAATTAGTTGTTACAAGGGTAATTTGCTGTCTGTTTAGAAGACGGGTTTTTGACATGCCACGCATTCTTATACCTATCACATGAAATGTTGGCTGAAATTCTGAAATGCGCTTTCCATTAGGAAGGATTACTTGGTCGCGGTTGTGATACTGATTATCTCAAGGCATACGTTTATAACATTTTGGACTCGGCAGGATGTCGGCTTTTAAATGCACTTCTTTTAAATCTCCTGTAGTAAGTGTGCTCGGTAAAAAAACGTCTACATAAGTAGCATGCCTATTTCCCATTAATTTTCGATGATCATTGGAAATTAAAATATATTTTATAGAAACCACAAACAAAAATATGCTTTCTTTTAATCAATCAATAGAGAATTACGTCTGCTTTATATTTTATGCTTAAGAAATGAGTATAATTAGGTTTTAAAAAGGTTTTCTAATTGCCGAAAAATTTGGAGCCTGATCAGTCGTTGCATTAGCGCTTAGTGATTACACTCTGCAAGGTGCATACGTTCCGCGTAAAGAAAATCCCATATTTTTCTATGTCATTAAAGAGATATCATACAGGGTCCATAAAATTGTGCAATGGATGCGGATCATGTTGTACATTTCATGAGGAGCAGTGGTAAACGGCCAGGTACGATGCTGTGTGAATGGACATATCGCGGTCTTAAAAAGTCGCATAATTAGAAACTTTTTTAAAACCTAATTATACTCCTTTCTTAAGGGTCAAATATAAAGAAGACGTGATTCTCTGTTAATTGACTAAAAGAAAGCAAATTTGTGTTTGTGGTTTCTATAAAATATATTGAAATTTCCAAACACATCGAAAATTAATGGGAAAATGCATGCTACTTAAGTAGTCATTTTTTACCGAGCACGCTTTCTATTAGAGACTGAAAAAATGTGCTTTTAAAAGCCGACATCCAGCCGAGTCTAAAATGTTATAAGAGTATGTGTTAAGATAATCATTATCACAACTGCGACCAAGTAATCCTTCCTAATGGAAAACCCATTTCAGAATTTCCGCCAACATTTCATGAGATAGGTCACTTACCGTATAAATGATTGCAAACTGATGCTTACGACATTTTCCCTCCTCAAACGTAGTCGATACCTCTGAGCATATGGACCTGTTTTCAGTGCTGCAACTGAATTCCTACAAGAAAATTAAACTTAAAGTTTACTTTTTGAATATACAATATAATCTCCTCTGCCTTCCACTGTTCTGTGCAACAAGTATCTTGACCAGAAAGGGCCTCTGGTTAGGTAGTTCACCAAAGAAAATCTCTCTCTAAATTACCGAGGTGTTCTCAGTGCTTTTTTGATGTCCTGGCATTCGCTCACTCATGTTATCTGAAGGAGCTCTTTACAGTCATTGTATCACGTAAAATACTCAAGAGCTAAAATTCACGATTCGCAAATAAATTTATTCAATATTTTTGCTTTCGTCCAGGGATGGACGAAAAGTATCTTAGTATTAATATTAAGATCATTTAAAAAAGTTTGAAAACTCTTTGAAATTTGACGAGCTGATGTGCCAAGTGGGTTCTAATAACTGACTTCTCAGTTCGTAAGGAAGATGTATACTTGCCAACCACTTTCATCATCTTTAATATGTTGGCCTAAAAGCTTTGTGTGTTGAGGAAATACACTGTATTAATTTGAAGTCGTTCGCCTTGTAGCCACTAACTGTTATTAGCTTGGTGACTTCGCTCGCCTACTGGACTCCAGCAATTAAGTTTGATTTGCCTTGTAAAACAACAAGCATACAGTAAAAGGGCTAATTCATGACTGTCAACCGAAATTCCGCAAGGAGTTTTTGTTTCAAACAAATTAATTAAATAGGGTTTTAAAACTGGTCCGCCTGCACAAAAACTCCAGAACATTTTAGTTACCTCAGAATGCGGGATTTTGAACTAATTTCCTTTCAGCTGCAGGCTAAAACTAAATTCTGAAAAAACGAATACGTAAATAACCTGAGTGTTTCTCATTGATTTTCGATGTCCCTAAAAGTCCAATTATATTTCATGGAGAACCTACATAAACATATTTACACCTTAACTCATTCAGTAGATAATTACATCTCCGAATTTTATACTGAATGAAACAACATACTTGGTCTTTAAAAAGTTTCCCAATTAATTTTAGACCCACTCTATCATCCCATTTGGATTCAGGCTTTCAAAATTACGAGCCGTATATTTTTCGGCTTAAGGATAACCGCATATTTCGCTGCGGTACTAAAAGCGGACTAAATAAGGTTGATAAAATAAAGAAGTGGATTCGATCCATATTGTTACCATTACACGCCACATTGCTAAATGCAGAGATATGACGATTTATGAACGGTCATTACACGGTTTTGAAAAGTCCCACAATGAAAAACATTTTCAAAACCGAATTAGTTTCCACCTTCAAGCATAGAATTAGCAGAAGACGTTATTATCTACCGAATGTACAAAACAATAAAATATTTTATGTTTGGTCTCCACGAAATGTATTTGGACTTTTATGGGCATCGAAAATCAATAAGAAACATTCATGAAATATTCTATAATTGCGTCGCGGGTTGACCGGTTGTACAACACTACTTAATTAATCTTTTCGAAAAGAAAACGTATTTCGGAATTCCGGTTGACAATTCACGCGTTTGCCTGTCTAATGTATTTATGGGAACACATGGAATAAGACAAATCTTCACGGTTTTAAGTTCCAAAGCGCACTAAATTGTGCCTATGTGGATAACTATAGTAGAACGTGTTTTACTAATTGTTAAGACCAAGTTCAGCTTACGCGATGTTCGCGAAGATCCCAGCTCCTGAAAATCCACTGCAACTCCACATTAGTAGAGTGTGCGTGCACGTTTTTGCTGCGACCGACAAATGTGCCTAGATCTGTAAATGGACAATATTAAATTAATTTGCTGACAAAGTAAGCATGAGCCGGCAAACTAACAATAAGACTGTCGTATCGGGATTCGCAACCAGTCTATATAAAAATAAATAAGTGTTTTATTCATAAATAACGCTGGAATCATGAAAGTGCTGGAACATTACCTGGCCAGTGATATCGATATGAAACAAGGTCAAAGCGACCGTTTTCGATATAGTGGCACATGTAGAAGACGATACTTGCTCCGCTATGCACTGCTTCAAATTTCAACACCGAATAATTTCCCTCTGTCTATAAAACTGAATGTCATGTGGCAGACTGTGAAACGAACAACTAATATTGGCGTTACTCTAAAAAATCTCAGTGAAGATTGTCTCATGCTTAAATATAGACGTTCCACATAATACTTCATTGACGAACCTACCGCAGGGGACCAAGTCAACACATATTCGAGCTGCAATAAACAGGTTTCTGTTCAGCTTGTCTCAAATTTTTTAGCTTGGCTCTACATTTAATTACCACTTATGCCACAAAAATCAACATTGTGCAAATAAGTCTGGGAAAAATAAGACTATTGTGACCATATTTATTTATTTTAACCATTTCGAATATACTACTTATCATTTTGTTGCAGAACCAGCGAAAAGAATGGCATTCGGGGTATTACCAGAATTACGGAAAACTTGCAACGGCAGACTCATTGGTTATTTGCATTTCCATTTAATTAGATTTTTCCATATACTCTTGCATGTCGAAGTCCTTATTTTATATCGGCATATATATTTACAGAGTCCTACAGTGCGAGTTAATTATGTAAGGAACATGACCAAAAGGACTGCATATATCGCCTTCAGCTTACAACACAAGTCATATGATAAATGTGCAATTTTCAACACTTTATAGGATAGCAGAAATGATAAGGAGAGCGCAGAAAATCCATTATAGACGTATTGTACTTATGTAATCCAACAAGCCAATTGAATCACAGCTGACAAATAGTAATATACAAGACAAACTCACATTAGTCGCCTTTATATGTGGAGGTTGTTCTTGAACCCGCCAAACAAGGTCTATTTTGCTTAGATTAGTGCAAGCAACTGATGTACTTTCGTTTTCAAAAGTAAACACCCCTGCAAAAATAATTCATTTTCTTTATTAATGATTCATCGTAAAACATGGAAAATGCTTTGAGAAGATTATACACCCTAGAATAATGTGCCATCAGGCTAAAATATGCGTTGGTAGGTGTAAATCATGACGTACGGCGTTTCGATAAGGCGTACGACATACGGTCAACTGAGATCCAATAAACTGAATCTGACACACTTAATTCTTGGGATCCAAATAAAATCTTCTTAATTTTTCTGATCTCCGGCAAAAAAATTGTAATTCGAGAATACTCTCCCACTGAAAATAAGAAAAAGCGGATTGTATATTCATAGCCAATTTTAGGGCTTTATACTCATAAGCAGTGCTTCTAGGCCAAAGCCA